GGGGGTGCTTCCCTACCCTTGCCCAGTGCCCTGCATTTGATGCCCTGGCACCACCACTCATTGATTTTGAAGAAAGTCTCTAACTTCAAGGTGGTTTTTAGAATAACTCAAATATGAAATCATTTATTTACTTATTTATAGTGGTAGGAATTGAAGTCAGAACTTAGCATTACTAAGCATGAAGGGTACCACTAAACCCTATTTTATATATAAAACTGCCCTCGTTTTATGTTTGAAATTCAGTCATGGTGATAAAGAGCTTGTCACTGGCTCAGTTAACTTTGAATCTTGTTAAATTACATGTTGTGTGTCGGAGAGGGAGGGAAAAATCATCCGGAGTTTGAAATACCCTCCGTTGCCTCACATATTAACATTGCTTGCACAATTACCAATGGAGTATTCTCACTTTGGACTTTATCCACACCCTAAATTTAGCAAGCTGGAATTATCTCTTAAGCACCACTTTAAGCAACCTTTCTGAAAGGAATGCCGACGAGGGGGAAAAAAAGTCTGCGTTTCCTCATGCTTAAAATGCAATGCCTAGCTCGGTCATTCAATCAAGGAGCAGAGTCTTATTATATGCTGCCGACTCAGCAAAGACAAAGAAATCCAGGAGATTCATCCCAGGTGTGTTAAGTGTCAAAAGTTACACATTCAGGTTGAGACACACGAGACCCAGACTCCACCAGACAATGAATCACGTGCTCTGCGTGTTTGGGAAGTTGTGTACTTGGAGTTGGATAATGACCTTCCACGTGCCATGGGTTTTTCTTATTGTTTAAAGGAATGTTACGTCGAACCTTTTGAAAGCTAAAGCTGCATTTCTAAAGGCAGTGCTGGGGAGCCACAGCCAGGACCTCAGTCATGCTAGGCAAGCACTGTTACCTGAACTGCATCCTGAGCTCTAAAAGCATCCTTTAAAATGGGATGCAAAGCCAGGCGTTGGTGGTGCGCGCCTTTAATCCCAGCACTCGGGAGGCAGAGGCAGGCGGATCTCTGTGAGTTTGAGGCCAGCCCGCTCTACAGAGCGAGTTCCAGGACAGCCTCCAAAACAATACAGAGAAACCCTGTCTCAAAAAAATAAACAAATAATAAATAAAATGGGATGCAAAGACTTGAAACTTTAAAATCTGCATACAAAATAGTGAGTTTGTTTTCAAGTGGGGCATGCATATAAAGCAATCAAAAATAATTTCCTTGAAGTTTTACTTAGGAATAGAATATCATAAAGTTCTAGTTAGTTTTGCTTGGTGATCGCTTTTAGAAGGAGAGGGACTCCCAGCCTTGTGCTGAAACATTCTCAAAGCTGCTCTTTCTCCCACCCTTTCCCAGCAAGGCTGAGCCTTTGAACTTACTACTAAACTCCTTGACCCTGCCATTCTCCATGGATGTGACATCTTGGATGTACCCTTGCCATAGAAGGCCCTCTGCTGGCTGTAGGCAGATGAAGCCTTCACTGCAGGCCATATTCGTCCTTGAGGGGAAGGGACTGTCAGAAATCCAACCAAACTATGGTGCATGATCTCTTCTTGGTTATACTGGGATCTTAAGGCAGAAATTAGCTTTGTTTATTGGTGTTGGAGACAGGATCTCACCACGTGTAGTCCACACTAACCTTGAACTGGTGGTCCTCCTTCCTCGATAGCAAACACAAGACAGTTGGTTCTTGTTATTTTATTTATAGATTTTATCCCAACTGTATTGAAGTTCGTTGAATTGCATAGTCTATGGGTCTGGTTTATTTCCATGTGTGATTTTTTTATTTGCAGAATTTTCTTTCTAATAATAAAATTTAAAATAAAAATATTTTGTTTATGGCCATATGTTTATTTATGCTACATGTGTGGGTAGCCATGGAGACCAAAAGTGGGTGTCAGGGCCCCTGGAGCTGAAGTTACAGGCAGTCATGAGCCATTCATTATGAGTGCTGGGAACTGGGTCCTTCTAGAAGAACAGCAAGTTCTGCTAAGCCATCTCTCCAACCCCAGGGTTCCCAGTATTTTATAAACAAAAAGTCCACTGCCAAGAATCAGTGATGACATGTGGCTATGTTTTGGGAAAATATGGCTATTCTTCTCTCCTCATTAGGAGATGTAGTGGAGTAAACAAAGCCAAGACTGGAATCTGAAGAGTGAACTTAGAGTCAGCCTTCCCTCGCCTTAGCTGGGAATTCCCAGTCTAGCTCCTCGATTTTTTCCTTTGTTTTAAAAAATATTATGGAAGATGTGTGTGTGTGTGTGGTGTGTGTGTGAAACAGTGTCTCATACACCCCGAATCTGGCCTTGAACTCCCTATGCATCCAAGGCTGATTTTAAATATGTGTCGTCTTGCCCAACTAGTTCCTCAATCTTCCTCAGCTAAGTTTTCCCCTGGGGGGAGTCAAGGATGCCTGGTGAATGCGTAAGAAGAGAACAAAGTCCTGAGTGGATCTGTATAGTTGACATACACAAGACCCACCTGATTCCAGCTCTTCTAGAGACATGTCTGTGTGTCTGTCCCTTCTTTTTTTCTTCATCATCCCAGTCAGGTCAAGTCCTAAACTGTGCTGGACACATGGCTTCTCCTCTATCAATGGGGGTAATAGGAAAGAATACCGCTAAGGAAAGCATAGGCAAGAATGCATGCACATGGTAGTCTCGAAGTCATAATAGCTGTGAGATACTTTCACATCTCAGGTCATAGGGAGCTACGAAAATAAACAAGGACATTGGATAAAAAGACTGTAGGACATAACAAAATGCACTGGGGTGTTGGGTCAGTGGGTAAAATGCTTCTCACACACGTGTGAAGACCAGAATTTGGATTCCTGGCACCTGTGTAAATGCTGGGAGGGTGTGGTGTCGCAGCACACTGTGTAATCCCAGTTCTTGGGAGGCAGAGACAGGAGGATTGCTGCAAGTTTGAGGCTAACCTGGTCTACATTGTGACTTCCAGACCAGCCAGGACTACATAGCGAGACTCAGGGTCAAAAGACAAAGCGATCGAATAATCAACAAAACAGCCATCTGGATGAATGCAGCTCTTGTTTTCCTTACTGACCATAGTTGTGTCCCAGCACTCTAGTCTGGATTTGCTCTACTTCAGTGGAAATAGTTGACATCCATCCACTGAATATGCCTTTCATAGAGAAGTCTGATGTGGTTAATACTCTGTCAAAACCTTCAAATGCACTCACCAGCTAGCACATATTAACTGTGTGCCTTGCAGACACTGGTACTGTTCTAGTGACCAAGTGTTAAGTGATTCCTACCCGCCCTCCACGAGAGACACGGATATTAAACAAACATGCACATCCACAGTCACAACCAGGGTTAGCTATGCAGGGTCTGTCTACACTAAACTGAGCTGGGCATGGGATAAGGTCTTTCCTAACAGAAGTTGTCTCAGTTCAGAACAGAAGCATGTCAGGAAATGGTGTCCAGGCAGAAAGGGCAGATAGAAGAACTTGGAGGCCCAACAGAACTTAGAGTGAAGGAGAACAAACTCTGCGTACCCTGGGCATAGCAAGATAGGGAGAAGAAAGGTACGAGACTCAAGGGACACAGGAAGATCACGTAGGGCCAAGCAGTCATATTAAAGAGTTTCAGTTATGGTAATGAGACTTAAACAGAGTAGTGACAGCGTCTGAATTTTGTTTAATGCTTTCTTCCTTCCTTCCTCCTTTCTTTCTTTCTTTCTTTCTTTCTTTCTTTCTTTCTTTCTTTCTTTCTTTCTTTCTTTCTTTCTTCCTTTCTGTCTATAGTGTTCTGCATGCATGTTGTGCAGGCCAGAAGAGGGCACCAGATCTCATTATAGATGGTTGTGAGCTACCATATGGTTTCTGGGAATTGAATTCAGAACCTCTGGGAAAGCAACCAGTGCTCTTAACTTCTGAGCCATCTCTCCAACCCCCAGCATCTGAATTTTTAATAGAAATAAAATTGTGGGTATGAATGGAAAAAAGTCAGTTTGAAGGCTTGTAAGTGGGCTTGACATGGGACAGGAAGAGAAGACTGGGACAGTGGCTTAATGGTAGAGTAATTGTTTAGTGTGACAAAGCCCTGGATTCAGTCTATAGCACTGGAATAAGAAAAGGTGGAGGAGGAGGAGGAGGAGGAGTTGGAGGAGGAGAGGAGGTGGAGAAGTCACATGTATTTTAGAGGTAAAAATAATCAATAGAAAGTTTTGACAGGTAGCACATGGGAAGGGAAGGCATTAAATTATACTCAGGTTGGTTTCTGGTGCTCAAGTCTGTATTTCCCAGGGGTTTCCACAAGAAAGACAAGTGAAGCGGAAGAAGGGACTCAACTGGAACTCTCGTAAAAATGGCATTTCCATGCTGAGCTGTAGCTTTTAAACAATGTTCCTCTCAAAAAGTACCAGGGCTCTTTGGAGAAATGACTGATGCAATCTTGCCATTTCTGAAAATCCGGGAAACATTCCAAGATTACGTGACAGTGACATAGTAGCCAGAATGAAAAGACGTCTGTTGGCAAGAGTCTGGGCGACCTTAGTATAACTTTTGGGAAAAACCCATCACGTCCACAGAGTTGCTAGACCAGATGAGACTAGCAGGAAGAGCAGTGGAGTGAATGCTGGGTGTTGACTGAAAGTCACTGGGGCGCTACACTCAGTACTACAAACATTGATACAGAAAGGAAAAGAATCGAGCATTTTTCCTGCCTTCTCTGTGCAAGCTGTATTCAGGGTGATCAAGTAACTAGCTGCAGATGGGAAGTCCTGCTTTAAGAGTCGTTCCCATTAAAAGAATACCAAAGGAAATAAAATTAGGACATTCCCATTTCATAATCTTAATGAAATAATGAAATTAATCAACAATCATGTGCTGGTTCTGTTAAAGCCACCAGGGCAAAGAAGATGTGGACATTTATAACAAGTCAACCTCTAAAAATATCTGTGTCCTGACAGAAAGCCTCAGCTTTCAGTTTCCCTGCCCCCCCCAAAAAAATTACAAGGCAAGAGGAAAGACAGTGAAGGAGCCATGGTCTATAGGTGCTTACATTTTACGCTCTTCACAGGATGCATGCTGGGAACTTGGTGTGCGCGCTCTTGGGTTGGAGTGTTGGCATAGGCAGAGAGTCCGTGAATTACCTCTGATTTCCTGGAAAAAGAATTGCCACCATCATGACCTCTGTTTCAGGTGAGATCCACAGCAAAGCTAATGATGTAGACTGCTGCACAATTTCTAAAACCGGGGATAACTCGAAGCAAATGCAGCTGGAGGACTTAGCAATAATTGTCTTATATTATTCCAAATCTGCTATAAACCGTGTTTGGGTCACAGAGACCTTGACAGCCAAATCAGGAATAATTTCATGTTTTAGTCACGGCAGTTGTTATTCTCAGTAAAAAGAAGAAAATAGATTTTTCTTTTTGATTTTGACTTTCTCTTGTTTTGTTTTTTACCAGAACTGGTTTTAGTGTTTGTTTTTTATTTTTATTCTTATTTTTATCTTTATTATTTATTTACTTTGGCTTTTTTCAGACAGAGTTTCTCTGTGTAACAGTCCTGGCTGTCCTGGAACTCTTTGTAGACTGATATCTGCTTGCCTCTGCTTCCCAAGTGCTAAGATTAAAGGTGTGTAGCCTATTTTTAATTTTAGAGACAGAAAGTAGTGAGGTTGGTCTTGACCTTCTGATCCTCTTTCATCAACCTTTCCAGTGCTGAGATCACCACAGCCCCAAACTGTTCATGATATAGGCTAAGAAGTCTTCCTGAATGTTTAGTCAAAAGCTTCCTGCGAGTGACAGTAGTCTGTTTCCCATCAAGGGAAATATCTAAAATGTAATCCCTTTATACATAAGTACACTTGATACCTATTTTAGATAAGTGCTCAAATGTGTCATGCCATGACTTGTAAAACATGAGGTCATCTTTCTCCTGGCTTGCTTGTCTCTATCTTCTTCTCAGTCTTCCTTCCCTTACATCAACACTGTCCACTCTGCCCCTCAAGGTCATCTACAGGTGCTGTAAATCTAGGCTTCACCTTTGACCTTTGCATGAATCTACATAAACCCAGCACTGATTTTTTTTAAAACACAGTCATATACATGAAGCCCCATGTTACCTTCTGCTTTGCCCATGCACCATTTAGCAAGTTTACTTGGTTTCACATTTCTTAAAACAAACAAAGATGGCTGGAGAATTCTCGGCTAGTGTAGATCCAACACGGAAGAGCCCACTTTTTGTCCTTGGGTTTTGGCTGTATGAACTAGAAGCTACTTATTTATCCTTGCAGTCCAGAGTCTGTATCTTTACATATAATAATTTGCATTTGATAGTTGTTTTGGTTCTTTTCCCACCTTTACATGGATCTCAGTGTGTTCTACATCTATGGAGACATCTTGCTGGCCCTTAGCCCTATTTAACTGAAATTTAATGTACAAACCACAACATTCCATTTTAGGGTGTACAAATTTCGCAAGCCTGGGAAACCACTACCACTAGCCATATCCAGGACATTTTTAGTATCCTAAAAGGAACCACCGTAAATGTTCGCAGCCATCCTCCATTTCTTCCTCCATCTCCTAGGAATCACTGGTCTATGCATGACTTTACTGATACATGTACTCTGGGAATTTCATGTCAGAAAAATTATATGTGCCTTTATCACTGGCTTATTTCACTTTGCATAATGTCTTGAAGGTTCATCCACGTTATAGTATGCATCAGAATCTCACTTACAGCCGAGGGCACAGCTCAGTGATACAGCATGTGTTTGGTATGGGTTCAATTCCCACAGCTAAAAGCTCTCACCAAACAAAACAGAACAAACAGAAATCTTTCATTAATTTTGGTTAAGCAAAATCCCATTGTGTGTATCTATCACACTTCATTTGCTGTGTTAGTTTTTGTCATGATAACAGAGTAGCTGGCGTAGTCAAATTATGAAGAAAAAAAGATTTGTTTCATAGTTTTGTAGATTCTAGCATATGACCTATTGGCCAGGTTGCATTGGGTCTGTGGTGCCTCATCCAGGGTGCTCATGCCAGAGCACAATCATTTACCTCCTAGGCTTGACTGGATATGAACTAAAACCCCAAAGGCCATGTGCTGACAGTTGACAGCTTCTTCTCTAACTTGTGGTACAACTGCAAGGTGGTAGAACTTTTGGAAGTAAGGCCAGATAGAAAGTATCTGGATCAACAGAGGCCTGCCTTCAGAGGAGACACTGAAAATATGGTCCTAGTCATTCTCTCTCTCTCTTTGCTGTGTGTGTGTGTGTGTGTGTGTGTGTGTGTGTGTGTGTGTGTCTGTCTGTCTGCCCATCTGTCTCTGGCTCTCTTTCTTCCCAGATGCCACAAGAGGAGCAGCTTTTTCCCCTTTTTTCCCATCATGATCTACTGTGTTACCACAGGTACAAAGAACATCTGAGACCATGAGCCAGAATAATCTTTCCCTCTTTATAAGAACAGTCTCAAGTGTTTTTCACAACAGTGTAAGCCTTCTTGCCTCTTAAAGTTTCAACTATCTCCCAAGAGGACCAGTGGGGGAAACAAGCCTTTGATGTAGGCCTTAGGGTGACGTACGACCAGTGAGCTATAGCGTTTATCCATTATTTCCTGTTGAAGTGATTTCACTGTCTAAGAAGATTGTAGCTGTGAACACTCATGTCCAAGTTTTTGTATCAGTACAAGAATTTCGTTGTCTTGGCTGTATATGTAGGAAGATAATTGTTGAATCCTGTTCAGCTCCGTGTTAAGTCTCTTTAATTCTCAGGGAAACTGTCAGACTGTTCCACAACATTCCCATCACTTTATTCACCACCATGTGGGCATTTCATATTATTTCTTAGTTTCCCAAAACACTTGCCAAAAATTTTCAGTGCTGTTTGTTTGTAGCCATTCTAGTGAATATGACTTCATAATTCTTTCTTGCCTCTCTCTCTCTCTCTCCCTTCCTTTCTTTATTCCTTTCTTTCCTTCTCTCCCTTCTTTCCTTCCTTCCTTTCTTTTTTCTTCCTTCCTTCTTTGCTTTTTCCCTCCTCTTCCTTCTTCTTTCTAAGTCAGGGCTTGATGTAACTCAGATTGGCCTTGAATTTCTGATCCTACTGCCTTCCCCTCCTGAGTGCTGGGATTACAGGCATGCACCAGCATACCCAGTTTCATGTGGCACTGGAGGTTCTAGTCAATTGTCTTGTGCATGCTAGGAAAACATGCCCCAACTGAGCTATTATTTACCCAAGGCTGGTGTGGATCCTCCTGTCTTAGCCTCCCAAATGCTGGTATTATAGTCATGTGCCACCATGCCTAATTTATCTTCTGTTGAAAATAACTGTGTAAGGAAATTCACATGATTCCAAAGTCAAAACTACTGTGGTGTGTATAGAGAGGTCTAGCTTTCATTCATACTCCTTTCATTCTATCATTCTCCTATGTCTTAGTTAGGATTTCTTTTGCTGCAAAGAAATACCATGACTAAAAAAGAAAGATGGGGGAGGAAAGGGTTTCTTCAGCTTTACACTTCCATAACACTGTTCATCGCTGAAGGAAATCAGGGCAGAAGCTCGAAACAGGCAGGGTCCTGGAGGCAGGAGCTGTTTCAGAGGCCATGGAGGGGAGCTGCTTACTGGCTTGCCCCCTATGGCTTGCTTAGCCTGCATTCTTACAGAACCAGAGCCACTAGCCCAGGGATGGTGCCTCCTACAACTGGCTAGGCCCACATTGATCACTAATGGAGAAAACGCCTTACAGCTGGATCTCATGTAAGCATTTCCTCAACCGAGGCTCGCTCCTTCCTCTCCAATGACTCTAGCTTGTGCCACGTTGCCACAAAACAAGCTAGTACAGCCTACATACATATAATTTTTTTATTAGTTTGCTATTTAGACTCAATTTCTACTTTGTCAACATACGAGGAAATACATACGCTTTGCTCTCTGTTTCCCCATCTCATTTTACAACAAGACAAAAATCTACACTGCATCCCCTCTACTCCTTTCATCTGCCTGTAAACCCTGGAGTTCCACAGTATTACACGGAGATCGCTCGCTTTTCCTCCGTGCTACACGGAGATCACTCTCTTTCTCTCAGTGCAGCTGTACCGAGCTGCGTTTTGTGTGTGTGTAGACTGTGATCAATTCAGTCTGTGCTCTGTGTGTGGACATGGGGGTTCAGGATCCATTTGTTGCCTGACTAAATTGTGCCAGGCACTAGGAATAAAGGCAGGGCCAGCTCTAGCTTCAGAAAGCTCAGGAAGAGATCTCGACAATAAAGAACATTCCTTAAGTCCAAGAGCATGCCTGGATCCGCTGAACACAAGGGGCCCATGTTTTGGAGAAGAAACGTCCCACACAGAAGGGACACAATAACCTATTATGGACCATCATCACGCTGCCCTTGGGCCTTTGTGTGGGAAGGTTCCCTTCCTTGGATGTGCTTAACAGTGACTGATCAGGAGTGCCCCCAATCGGTCAGAGTGGGAAAAACCAAATGAAAGTGACCCTGAGTTAGGATTCCAATAACTAAGTTCCCTTGGAAAGAAGAAATATAAGTTAATGCTAGTGTTGTGGGCATAACAGTAGGAGCTAACATCTGTATGGACTTTATGCTTATCAGATACTGTTCTTAGCATATTTGTACTTAAACTTAAAAAAAATTATCCTAACAGTCCTAAGAAATGGGGACTATTCTCTAAAAATATTCTCCAATACAGAAATTAAGACACAGAGATCAGAGTTATTGCGTGTTTGCAAAGGGTCACACAGAAAACAGGGGGTGGGAGACAGACCGGCATCACCGATAGGGTAATTGCAAATAGTGTACTAAGAAGTGTAAGCCATGGAGCTGACAAGATGGTTTGGCAGTTAAGAGCAAGAGCATATCATAGTTAACAACCTTTAGAAACTCAAGTTCAGTGAATTAGATACCCTTTTCGGATTCCACAGGTTTGGTCCCACGAGATACAAAGATATGTATGTGGACAAAACATTCATACGCATAAAGTAATAAATTAAAATAACTTTAGAGAAAGCCTCTCTGAAATAAAATTATTTAGAAGGTGCACCAGCAGATCCACAGTTCACAACTCTGGTTTCTTAAAAGTACAGTTCATGATACCGAAACTCAAAATAGCACGGAAACAAAACAGAGGAGCACACCACTTAATAGACAGAAGAGCTGAGTTTTAGATTCAAGTCAAGATTACTGGATCCTCTAAGGTTCATGTCAGACGGGTAATGTGCCCACGTCGTAACAAGGTTTGATGGGCGGCACACGTCACGCAAAGGCGTGAATCCCCAATCATCACGTTTATGAACCGAAAAAGGATCGACAAATTGAGTACCTAGGGAGGAATCAAGTCACTCCTACCAGTTACACGGAGAGGGTGACTAACGCCGTGCAGCTCTATTTAGTTATTACACACAAAATCTCACACACCTCAAAACTCCTGGTAGGAGTTTGTGAGCTTTCTCCCGTTTCTGCCGTGGAAAACGAAATCAGAAGCAAAATTGTTGAGCGGACGCTTAATTATGCAAATATATTCTCCATAGCTCCACCTTCCACTCGTTCTCGGTTGGCAGGGCTGTTCTTTGCTTTTCGGCCGTAAGTCGTGAAAAGAAGCGTTGCGGCTCCGCTGCCGGAAGTTTTAGTTTTTACATTTTACGGCAACACGGCTACCCGGGGGCCGGAAGTTGCCAGGTACGGAGTCTGTACGGGATCAGCTGTTGGAGTCTGAACCTTGTCTGTGTCACGGCTCAGTGATCTGTCTTTAAAACTTATTTTTCCAGAAAGGGTAATTCCTCCACGGGTTAGGAGTTTGAGGCTCTCACCATACCGGGGCCCCTCCTTACACCCGCTTGTCCGGTCCCACCTTGTCTGGACAGCTCGCCCTTTCGCCGTCGGTGATTTTAGTCCTGCTCGTTGGGGGACTCCCAGTCCCGGGGCGATCTTCCCACCGAGACTCCAGACCCCTCCCCGCTTTGTTGTCGGTCCCCGCGGGGAACCCAGCTCCCCGCCCCGGGCGCCACCAGGAATGAAGCTGGACAGCGCGGAGGAGAAGTCGCCGGCCGGCCCCTCCATGCCCGCAGAGGGCTCTCCCCCGACCCTCGAGCATGCCTTCTCCAAGATTCTGCACGCGGCAGGCCCGGGCAACGCAAGGAGTGCCATCCTTGAAGACCTCGGTGCTTTGATAGAGGCCGCCGAATGTGACGAACTGTTTGAGGGCGCCAGGATGCCCGAGACCCTGGGGCAGGTGGCGAAGACCTTGGAGAAGCTCGCAGCCCCACCCAAGGAGAAGGCAGAGGGAGGCGATGGGGTTTCCGAAGCGCCTGGGAGAGCAACTGGAGTCGGGTTGCTCTTTCTTAAGCTGCTGGGGAAGGTTAAAGCTGCCAAGACTTCTCCCGCCTGCCCTGCGTGGAGGACGGGCCTCCGCCACTTGGCGGGACCCGCGTACGTTTTTGCGGCCACGCACAGGCTGAAGCAGCCGTGGACCAGTCCAAGATCTCAGAGTGTGGCTGGTGAGGTGCTGTCCTCACTGCTTCGAGTTATGGAGTGCAGTTCCGTGGCAGGGTTCCTGTGCGGAGAGAACGAAGAGGATCGAGGGAGATTTGCCGCGGTCTTGGGCCTTCTTAAACCCCATTTGAATAAGTGAGTACTGCGCCTCTCACTGTTAATCAGGCAGATCAAGGTGTTGGCATATTAGATATCTTAAGGCTCAGAGCGGTTGTGACTTGCTAGAAATGAGGTCACCGGGTAGAAGCAAACTCCGGTTTCCTGCACAGAACGACTGACTGACTGACTGCCTTGGGAAATTGGAAATTCTGACAATAGCAATGGAAATTGAAAATCCTGCCCCATTGATATGGAATCAACTATCTTATGCTAAGTACCCATGAGTATTTGAAAGGATCCAGTCTTTTATCTTGAACTTAAATATTGGCGCCTCTAATCCTAATAACTCTAGTTATTAGATTAGGGTGATTATTATATAAGGAAGTAATAATTGGAGTGAAATGATGAAAGCCCTGTATTATAAACTGGATCGAATCGAATTGCTACTAAAATACTTGCTGTGGGTTTTGACTTGATACTTTTGGTGTTTTGTTTGGAGCCAGGTTTTAATTTTGTTTATTTATTTTTGAGATAGGGTCTCACTATGCAGCCTTGGCCACCCCGAAACTCTAGTGTAGACTGGGCCAGCGTGGAACTAACAGAGATTGGTCTGCAGATCATTTTCTTCTTTTTAGGGTTTTGTTGTTTTTAATTATGTATAGGTGTGTGTCTGCATGAGAGTCAGGTGCCTTCGGAAGCCAGAGGTGTCCGATCGCCTGGAGCTGGACTTAAAGATGATTGTGAGCCACCTGATAGAGTTTCTGGCTCCTTTGTAAGAGCAGCAAGTACCCTTGGCCACTGAGCAGTCTCTCTAACCCCTTCAGGCAGGTTTTCACGTAGCCAAGGATTGTGGCCCTGAATTTCTGATCCAACTGCTAGGCTTACAGGCAAGTGCTGGGATTGCACATGCGCCCCACAGTCTTGCCTCACCATGCCTTGAGTGAGCCCAGGGTTTTGTGAATGTTAGGCAAGCACCTGGCCAACTGAGAAGATCCCTAGTCCCTTGGCACCAGAAAGGTGAGACAAAATAAACTTGGAGCGAAAAGACTTGAAACTAATCTTTTTTTTTTGAAGACATGATTACTTTATAGGCTGTCTTTGAGCTCACTAAGTAGTTCATGTTGACCTCAACCTTGAGCAATCCTCCTGTCTCAGTTAACTCAATGCTGAGATTACAGAGGTACAACACGGTGCCCAGTTTAGTGTTTCTTTTGTAATGTTTTGAGTAGGACTAGGTCAGGGAGCTTCCATGAATCTTGTTTTATTATTTGCAACTAAAGGCGATATACCTATTATACAGTTATTATTTTGAGTAAGATGTGCAGACTTCTTTCATAAAGTTGGTGCTCAGGTAGTGTAAGACACCTTCACTCCCCTCTCTCCCTCCCCAGCACATGTCACATCATCCACCAGCATGGCCACCGCTGACCTCCACAGGACTTTTACATAGCTGTAGTTGTGAATGGCTGCCACTTACTGAATAAGCTTTTACTACCCAGAGTTTGGGCAGTTGCTGAGTATGTATAGTGTAAGTTATGTAAATTAATCCAGTTTAAGTCATAAAATGTGTTTGAAAAAACACTAGTTGTATAGGAAATATATATATTTATACATACATACACATATGTGTATACATCTGTTAAAGACAAGAAAAGAAGCTCTTGCGAAGCTTCAATAGTTTTCTTTGCTGCTGCCGTGTTATTTTACTCAGTGTGGCTTTCATGTGTCCTGGCAGGGAATCCTGGAAGAATAATCCCGCTGTCAAACATGTTTTCTCGTGGAGCCTGCAACAAGTCACTCAGCCCTGGCTGAGCCAGCACCTGGAGAAGATACTTCCTCCATCTTTGCTCATCTCAGATGATTATCAGACGGAGAATAAGATCCTGGGTGTGCAGTGCCTCCATCACATTGTGGTTAATGTGGTGAGCAGCTCAGTTAGGCCTGTACTGATTGGGCAGACAGAGTTACTCCATGTTTATGTCTTATAAGTAGCTTTGTTTTCGTGTTGTCATTGAATACACACACACACACACACACACACACACACACACACACACACACACACACACACCTTTTTCTCCCACCTGGTATCTAGTATCTCATTGGTAATATAAATAAAATGGTAATTTTAGAAGAGACAAAGTCATGCGTCATTATAAAAATGAAAACAAAGGCAAAACCAAAACGTGCTTATAGAAATTAACAGAGTGCTAGTGAAGGAGACTTCTGTATTGTGGAAGTTTTACAATGCATGCAGAAGAGGGTGGTTTACTGAGTCTCCACATACCCATGTCTCATTTAAAATCATTCACATTTTGCCACTCTTGAGAAACCTTTAACTGGATAATTTGTGTGTTTGCAGCCAGCTGCTGATTTGCTGCAGTACAACAGAGCCCAGGTCGTATACCATGCCCTTTTCAATCACTTGTACATGCCAGAGCACCACCTCATTCAGGTATTGTAAGATTTACACCTAACTGTCTGGGTTCTGGTATGAGTAGAGGGTCGTGTTATGTAAGCAGGGGCAGTTTAGAGCCGTTTTCCCCTGGGACAATGAGGGCACCTGAAAGCTGCTGCCTACTTAAGAGCATCTCAGTGTTAAGCCGGCATCCCCTCTCCTGAGCATCCACGAGTAGCCAGGGTTTTATCTTCATGAGTGTCGACTCTATGCTTTTATTAAGTTAAATGTTCTTCCTCTGTGCCGCTCCATGTCAACACATGTATTTCATGTGTAGACACTTAGTGTCATTCTCCCAGCCAACAGCCATTAACTGAGAGCTATCATGTTCTGTGCTAGGCTTCAAGAATAAATGAATCTGAGTGTTTCTGGCTTGAAACCCTTTGGAAGACTTTTATGTAAATATATGACTGTACACATATAATCTCTGTGTATGCACAATACAGCAGCAGCTGTATTATAAGAGGTGTAGCCGGGCGGTGGTGGCGCACGCCTTGAATCCCAGCACTCGGGAGGCAGAGGCAGGCGGATCTCTGTGAGCTGGAGGCCGGGCTGGTCCGACAGCCTCCAAAACAATACAGAGAAACCCTGTCTCGTAAAAAACAAAAAAAAAAAAAAAAAAAAAAAGAGAGAGAGAGAGAGAGATGTAATGTATGACCAGCAGCAATAGGCAGTTAGCAAGGTTGAGGGTGGCTTTAGGAGACTGTGGGAATGACAAGATAGATGTTTATGAAGGGTAAAAAGTGATTTCTTAGGAGGGAGAAGAACACCATAAAAACAGAAAAATCAAGGTATAGAAAGCTGTAAATAGAGACATTTTGTTTTTCTTTGTGCTGGGACTGAATCCCAGTCCTCATACATGCTCCTATTCTGAGCCTCCTCCTCAACCTTTTGTTTTTGCTTTTTTGTGACAGTATCTGAGTCTAACCCAAGCTGGCCTAGAACCCGCGCTGACCCTGGCTACTAAGTGCTGGATGGCAGTATACAAGCACAGTGTCCATCAGCTCCTCCCTGCTTCTGTTTTGCACGCTCTCTACCATAATATTTTGAATATTGAGAGTCCACTTACTATCAGATGGAAAATGTATTAACATGGTGGAGAAAGGAGATTTTTAAAGTTGTCAAACACTTAGAAAAGCATGAGGTCTCCAGAGTGCTAAAAGGGACTGCCTAGATGCCATAACTTCAGATAACGAAGTGCCCACGACTATCACTAAGTCTAAGGCATGCTAGACCTAGATTTCTGGGTTAAGTAAGGTCTGAGCTCAGCCATTCTTTCCATTTCACAGATTACTAAAGAGCAGTTCTGGAGGGGAAGTTTGAAAATTTGCAGTAATATGCACCTCATACATTAATTACGAGTATCTTTTAGAATTCTGTTATATATCCTAGGGACAGTAGATTAATGAAGATCTTAGAAAAGTCAGAAATGCTGTGAATGTCAGTAAATGAACTGTGTTTCTTTTTATTCTTTTCTCCCAGGCCGTGCTCCTGTGCCTCCTAGATTTATTCCCTGTCCTAGAGAAAGCTCTGCACTGGAAGGGAGATGCAGCTCGAGCTACTACACACTGTCATGATGTCCTACAACTGATCCTCACCCACATGGAGCCAGAGCACCGCCTTCTCTTACGGAGGACTTATGCCAGAAACCTGCCAGCTTTTGTGAAGAAGTGAGTGCCTGGGCTGCTTTGGTCATAATCGCCACATTCAACTTCTTAGCACCTCATTTTCTCTTACTTTTTAGGTTGGGGATCCTAACTGTCCGGCACTTGAAGAGGCTGGAGCAAGTTATCATTGGTTATCTGGAGGTTTATGATGGACCAGAAGAAGAAACTAGGTTGAAGATACTGGAAACCCTGAAACTTGTCATGCAGTATACTTGGCCCAGGTATAGCATCCAAGCTGACAGATGAACTAAAAGGGCATGCTTAGGTTAACTTTCACTTCAGAACTTCCCAGACAAAATATTCAGGATATGCAGTGTAGCTGAATCTTTTTTTTACTTTATTCATTTCTAGGATATACAGCTACTTCAGATATTTATATTTGAGCCTCTTTCATGAGCCAGTAGGTTCTGACACAATTAAATCACTTCTCTTCCTTAAAAGTTCTAAGGGTGGGCCCTGTAGTGCAGCCCTTTAATTCCAGTACTCAGGAGGCAGAAGCAGGCAGATCTCTGTAGGTTTGAGGCCAGCCTAATCTATATAATGCGTTTCAGGCCAGCCAGGGCTACATAGAGAGGCCCTTTCTTAAAATGACAAAAAACAAAACATCTCACACACAAAACAACAACAAATCGTTTGGTCACCTAAGTTGGGAAACCTTGCAGATTGTCTTACTTTTCTGTTGCTGTGGTAAGATACCATGGCCAAAGCAATTCCTAGAAGCAAGTTTATTTGGAGCTTATAGTTTCAGGGGGTTAGAGTCCATGGCCATCACAGAAGGGAGCATGGCAGCAGACAGGCAGTAGCTGAGCGCTCACACCTTGAGACACAGAGGATGAAGGAAGAGAGAGCCAACTTGAAATGGCATGGGCTTTTAAAACTTCAAAGCCCACCTCTGGTGCTATACCTTTTAATTTTTTCCACACAGTTCTACCCACTGAGATCAAGTATTCCAGTACATGAGCCTATAGGATTCATTCTCATTGAACACATCATACAGATGGTCTGTCCAGATTGTAATTAATTCATATCAAAATACTAAAGGCTATTTAGGACTGATGTGCAGTTAAGTGGTAGAGCACTTGTCTGTTATGCACAAGGGTTTGATCCGGCTCCCCCCCAAAAAGAGTGCTTGAGAAGTGCTTCATCCTACATAGGCATGTTTAACTATGTTCATCCTGCAGGTCCTACAGCTAATTGAAAAATGGAATTCTTCGAGGCACATCACTCAGCATTTGCAGAGCAGTGATTAGATTGCTATTTAGAAGGCATTCATAGGTGGTTAGATTGCTAACTTAGGATAGGCTTATTTAGAAGGGTAGACAGTTCAGATTCTCGTTTACTCCTGCGACCTTCAAGCCACATACGGAACCAGCTCTGTAGACCTGGCTGGTCTCTGTGAGTTCAAGGCTGGGCTGGACTGACAGCCTCCTAAACAATACAGAGAAACCCTGTCTCGTAAAACCAAAAAAAAAAAAAAAAAAAAAAAAAAAAAGACTAGACAAGTGAGTAGCCAGTGACTGCAAGTTCATATTGACACTTAAGCACTAGTCATCTTTATTTCTCTTTTAAAGCAAGGTTTTTCTCTGTAGTGAAGCTCAAGTTCTAGACCCTCCTGTATCCTAAGTGCTGGGGCTATAAGCACTTACCACTACCTGCAGCCTCACTTTATTCTTAATGTCCAGCCATTGAGTTACATGACTGGGCTGTCTTACCTTGGGTCAGCATAGGGCCTTGAAAAGGAGAGATCTTGGCCCATCTTATTCTCACCCTATAATAGGCCAGTTTCCCTGAATAGACTCAAGCATTGGCAGGAAACAAAGTTGAGTTTTCTGTTTGAGACAGAGCCTCGCTGTAGCCCTGGCTGTTCAAAAACTCACAAACACCCACCCACCTGTCTCTGCTTTCTGACTGGCACAAAGTGTTCCTGAACAAGTCAGTGTGTGTATACAGGCTGCATGCAGTAGAGAGGAACTCTGAGGCTAACAATCTGCAGTCTCTTTGGTCCTGTTTGCAGAGCTTTGGTAGCAAACATCATTTGACTTCAGTTTTCCCATGTCTGGACCAAGTCTTATCCAAGTTTAACATTCTAGTTTGCAATATGAAGGTTTTCTTCCTGATTCCAGAATTCCCTGTAGAGTTGTCGTCTTGCTGAAGGCTCTCCTGAAACTGATATGTGACGTAGCAAGGGACACAAGCCTCACAACTGAGGCCACTAAGTGTGCCCTGCTCCAAGAAGCCACAGACTGCCTGATTCTCCTGGACCACTGTTCTCAGGGACAGGTGAAGGTAAGGCAGAGTCTGCAAGTCGGTTTCAGTTGGCCTTTTTTCCTAGGAAACCCCAGTGATTAATTGTAATTTACTATGTGTATGCCCAGCCAAGTTTGGACATTAGCTTGGATGGTGTTAGATCCCTACCTCTGTACTCCGGTCTTAGAGTGTGGATACCTTACCCTATTTATTTTTAGTGCTAGGGCTGAACTCTTAATACTATTCAAAACCATTTAGAGCATAAAAAAAGAAGATCAGATGTTACTGGCATCTAGGATAAGAAAGAACAAGCAAGCCACCAGATTTTGTAAAATTTAAGTTCAGAGGTTGACACCTTCTATGTGAGACAGACACCTTAGAGTTCTGTTCTGGACTTCAAATTGAAACCAGTACTAAAAGAAGCTCAACGAAATGAGGCTGTAAGCTTCAAGGAGGAATACTTTGGGATAGCACAATGTTCACATAGCATCTCTGAGATGTTTGTCTCGTGTACATGTGCAGGTAAAGGTGACATAGGGTGTCATTCCTTAAGCGCTGTGTCCACTTTCCCTTTTAGACAGGATGTGACAGGGAACTCTGCAAGCAGGCTTGATTGGCTGCCTTGCTAGTGGGCAAGTAGTCCCTGAGGTTCTGCTTGTCTGTCTCCTCCCATACTGAAGTTAGTGTATGTGTTCCCACTCATGACAAGCACGGGGTTTAAACATGGGACTGAACTCAAGCCCTAGAGCTCATCCCACTGAGCTGTTTCCTCAGTTCCCAGATACTCAGTTAACCGGCAGGAAATTCTTCCTTTAGTTTATTCCACAGAATTCTCAGAGCTGAAGTTTATGGTGTCGATACTTGTATTTACATGGAATTAAGACTAATTTCCATTTTTACCAGTTAGAAATCTAAAGATTAAAGGAGCATGAGAAGAAATTCATGCCCTAAAACATGTACAGCTACAGTATGGTTTGTTGTTTTTAGTTTATTAAAACATTCCATTGTTGCCCTTTATGTTTGTGCAGTTTTCTGGTCCAGCTTGAGTTGTTCTGGCTAGGATGAAGCCAATGAATGGGGTTCTTACAAGCATGGGACAGTTTTTAAGTAATACCTGTTCTGATGGAGGCACTTAACCTCACTCTCGTTGAGTATGTGGGAAAAAAGACCGTGGGGAACAGGTTTTACAAAAATTAATGCCTGTTTGGTTTCATGTTTCAGGATCTCCTGTCTAAAATTGTCCTGTCCTGTGAAGACCGCACAGTGGTGAGCTGCATCAGGAAAGTGCAGCAGAGCTCTGCAGCTGTTCCCTGTGATGTCTCTTAGATGACTAACCAGCAAGAAAGGGCACTTTTCCTATCCCAGATCTTATGGATGGAGTTATGGAAATTCTATTTTTATACTAAAAAGATTGTAAGTTGGAACTGGTTCTTTCAGTTTATCCTTGAAGCCGGTGTGGTGGCACACCTTTAATCCCAGCACTCATCAGGCAGAAGCACAAAGATCTGAGTTTGAGGCTAGCCTGATCTATAGAAAGTTCCAGGACAGCCCAGGTTACACAGAGAAACCTTGTCTTAAAAAAACAAAAGGGAGCCGGGCGTTGGTGGCACACACCTTTAATCCCAGCACCCGGGAGGCAGAGGCAGGCGGATCGCTGTGAGTTCGAGGCCAGCCTGGTCTACAGAGCAAGTTCCAGGACAGCCTCCAAAACAATACAGAGAAACCCTGTCTCGAAAAAACAAAAACAAAAAAACCAAAAGGGATAAAGAAAAAATGACATTTATAAGTAAAAATGGGGAGGGGAGAATTTAGCAGTTGCAATTCAGAAATATTTACAGGGATAATGTCATTCCAGCTCCAGGAACTCATCTGTTCGCTGTTACAGTACATGTGTTAGAAAAATACTCTACAGTTGAGACTCTTCTCCACTCCAGATTTTTGGTCCACTGAAGTGACATAAATATTAACAATATAAATACTGTATGAAATATAGCACAAAAGGGCACAGTGGAAAGTGTCGACTTCTCAGGGTACAGTGTGAAGGAACGAACTCATGTGGTTTTGGCTTTGGCCATGGGCTCTGTCTCCTGCTCATACTCTATTTCCACATAGGCCCGTTTCTTCCGCAGAGGTCCTTTCAAGGGTGCTTTGCCTTTGTGTTTGGCCTTAAGGGCCTTTTCTTTTTCTTCTTCACTGGAGGATTCTTCATCCTGTTCTTCGTCACTGCCGGCATCCAGTTTATCCATATCCTAATATGTGGAGACAGAAGTCAGAGAGGGAAAGCAGGTTTCTCCAAACCTCCTCCACCCCCCCGCCCCCCACTCTGCCAGTTCAGCTCTTGTGGGTTCAGATCCCCCCCTGCTTTCCCCATTTGCTGCAGACCACAAGACATTCTTATTCTTTATTCCACAGAGCTCACCTCAAAGTCACTCAGGTCACTCTCATCTACCTCATCATCTTCTACAAACTCTCTTTTCCCCACATCCTAAAATAAAACATAGTTACCAGGTTAGAAAAAAACAATGAAGATCCAGCTTAGCCTTCGAATTTCACCTCTTTTCATAAATACGTGAATCAGAGTCTACCTACATATTCAGCTACAAAAATCTACTATTCTCAACTTTAACGCTTATACATAAAAAAGAGAAATTAAGGATATAAAAGTCAGTGCAGTTTGTTGGCTAAACTCTGCTAGATGAAAATCATCACATGATATAAAATTGGGGTGTAAATAATGCTCCCTCTGAATTAAACGAGAATGTGTCATCCTAAAGATTACTTTGTTTCAAAACAAGACAAACCATACTCACCTCTTCATCTTCCTCCTCATCCTCCTCCTCTTCTTCAGAGTCACTCTCTGCTTCCTGTTTCTCTAGGGCCTTGTCGAAGGCATGGATGGGGAAGTTGTAGATGTCGCCATACTAAAAAACAAACAGACTGCCTTTAACTATTCTTGAAAATTACATTTTTCAAAGTTCTTCTTCCTGACAAGCATATTAATATTTATATAGTTTTCCAACCTAGGTACAGTGTGTTTATGACATTGAACAATCAGTGGTTGATAGATGGCTTCTATGGAGAAAAGAACCAAGTCGTTTCAAACTTATTTATGGAACCACATGCATTGGGGTAAATCTAATTTTGCTTAGAAGGGGAAATAATACATTTTAATCACCTTTCCATTTTTCTAAATGACACTGACCTTAGTCAAAAGGCTGAGACATCTTAAAAAAGATTTTTAAAAACTCATTTTAAGAACCTCAAAAGACTAGAGTAATACATAGAGACAAACATTCTATCGGGACTGAGAGCAGAGCTCGGGTGGCAGAGTACTTGTTTATCACATACAGATTCCTGGGTTCAAGTCCCAACATCATATACACTTGTGCACGGACACCTATGATCCAGCATGTGGGAGGTTTGAGGCAGGAGGATCAAGAATTTAAGCTCATCTTTTGCTACATAGTGAATCCTGAGGCTATCATCAGATATCTGGAATATGATGAGATTACAGTTTCAAAACAACAAAATAAACTATAGGGAGGTGCTGAAGTGTGTGAATGTTTGTGGATGACATGGGTATGGCCATGCCAAGGACCCCAGAGCATCAGGCCCATGGAAGAATGGCAAAGCTTTCTCTCAGGGTGAGGCTCAGAGGGGGATGGCAAAGCTGACCTCTGGTCTTCGTGCACATGCTGACTGTGCAGAAAATGACTACCATAGCTCCGCATCCCCCAACATTTATGGTCTGAAGAAGTCCCCACTACAGAGACTGCTCCTATTGAGACTTAGCTAAACCCGTCCCCTTATTTACATGTACGTAATAACCCACTCCCTTGTTTTGCTGTATGCAATAACCACCTTCCTGTTGTAAACATGCTGAGCTTGCAAAGGTGCTCAGGTTTCTCACCTAAGAGCTCACCCAATCACAGCTTTCTTCTACCTATCTTTTTATTCTTTGCTGTCTGAAATCACGTCTGTCCCTGGAGACTGTGTATGCACAGGGAAAAAAACCCATGACATTCATACATTCATTTATTTATTGTTTTTGGGACAGGGTTTCTATGTAGCTTTGGAGGCTGTCCTGGACTCTTATGTTTTTATGCAAAACTGTTGGTCTTGGAAGTGTCAACTGGCAAACGGAAAAAGACGAATTTGTTTTATTCCATGGACAAATTGCAGTGGGGAGGTTATTTGTGGCATGTTTAAAATAAATACACTGGGAGGGGGGTACACGCCTTTAATCCCAGCACTTGGGAAGCAGAGGCAGGTAGATCTCTGTGAGTTGGAGGTCAGCCTGATCTACAGAGCGAGTGCCAGGACAGCCAGGGCTGTTACACAGAGAAACCCTGCCCTGAAAAACCAACTAAATAAGTGAGTAAGCAAATAAACAGTTTGGGGGAAAATCACTCTCTGTACTTTCTAGCATGGCACTACTTAAGAAAACACTTGCACCCAACACTACGAGCTTTCTCACCGTATCCTGTTTCAGTCTTTCCAGTAATTCCTTCTCAATGGCATTGTCCAGCTGGGCAGCTATTAATGCTTTTTCCTATAAGAAGAAGAGCAAGTCCATTATTCCATCAGGACTCATTTTCTATCTATACAAATGTAATTACCAATTTTTAATAAGAATATGATGTAATGTGGTTACTTCCTAGTGGCCTCCATTAGTGAGGCTTTTGTCTCTAGGTAGATACATTTCTCCTTTCCCTCTCAAGGCCTCTTGAGAATCTTTCAATTAAACAATTCCCTTCTATAATTTGCATAAATGTAACAAAGTGAAAATAGTTCCTATGGCTTTAGCAGTAATATTCTGAATTTTTAACAAGCCCTAGATAGACAGACCACACATATATGCTTACATACACATAAAAATGTCACAGGGGCTGGGGGAGATGGCTCAGTTGGTAAAGTGCTTGCCCTGTAAATATGAGGACCTGAGTTGGGACTTCTGTAGGATCCATGCAGGAAGTCAGGCATAATGACACATACTGGTTTTTGTGCTAATAGCAAGAGAGGAGGCAGAGATAGGTGGACTCTGGAAGTCTATGGGAAAGATAGACTTGAAAGATAAGAGTTGAAGCCAATAAAAGATCTCTCCAACAAATAGTACAACAAGCCTGAGGACTGTCACCCAAGGTTATCTTCTGATTTCCACAAGCATGTGTGTGCACTGTGATCACAGTAAGTAAATACATTAGTGGATTAAAAAGGTGTCAGAAAATACTTTTGGTGAGAAGAGGAGGCCTCTGAATTCCCAGGGATAAAGTGTAACACACTCTGAAATGTTTGCATGAATATGGAAACTCGCTAGCTGGACTTGAAAAAAGAATGGGTGCATAGTTAATGGAGAATTAAGATTTCACAATGAATGTAGTCTCCAATCACATAAGCTGTGTGTAGTACACACCTGTAATTCTAGTACCATGGGATGCTGAGGAAGGAGGACCACGTGAGGCCAGTTTAGGTCACATATATTGCTGTCTGGGACAGCAGTGAAACGATAGATTAGCTATATAAAACTCCATGAGATTAGTGGGGGTAAAAGTACCAAAGATTATTGAAGGTGTTCTTAGAAAGACAAAGGGAGGCAAATGTCATTTAGTGAAAGAGAAAAATGCAAATGCCAAGAATGAATGAAAACTGGAGCTTGGAACAAGTGACTCTGAAGTGTACCGCTTGAAGACCATGGAGAGAGGACAGACTAACCCCCAGACAAAAGTTGGAGACTCTGGAGCAGGCCATGCTCTTCATGCATATTGTCAACACCCCCTTTCCTTTAGTAACAAAGTCACCCAGCTTACTGCAGAGCAGCTTCATCCAAGATCAGAGCAGGGTGTCCTGGCGTTTGTTTTTTTACCCAACAATCCCACAGTCAAAACCTTTCAATTTTCTAAGTAATATAACCAAAACAGTAACTGGGCTACTTAAAGACAGGTTTTAAACTCGGCTGAAGGTAATGCAGGCAATGTCAAAATTGTAAATTCTGAAATGTTTGACTTGAATTTTAGACAATTATCTAAAATACCTTTTTACTGTTTCCCACTATATCCAAACACCCCAAAGTATGTATTTTTATCTTTCAGTGAAAATCATAATCTGAAGACATGAACGAGATCACGTCACTGAAGATAAACTACTCATTAGTGACTCGTTATTGAGTTCCATGCATCCAACTCCTTTCAAACATGAAAACACAGATGCTATATAAACATCAGAACAACATGTTACCTCTCTTCTTTTTTCCCTTCGTTCAACTTTCTTACTCAAAGGAACAAGTTTCTTCCTAGCAGAAATCAAATACATTATATTAGAAAATTCAAGTTCATTTTAAAGACTAAAGAATTAGAACAGATTTTAATAGTACGTACGTTTCTAGTAATTCAGGGTGCTAGTAGAGTTCAGTGGCCGAACATCTGCC